CTCGCGCCTGGACCGTCAGGTGGGCACCTTAGTGCTATGACTGCGCTGCATCAGCCTCGTGATGCCGGTCACCCACTCCTACAAGAAGCTAGTAGGAGCTTGACCTACGAGGGCAGCACTACTAACTTTAGGTCGTTAGCTCGGACAGGAGCCTTAGAAGGCTCGACTAGCAAGGGCGCTCATGCAGTCCGTTGGCCGCCAATTCCCGCGGAAGCCACAGTGGGCTCATCTTTGTAGGGGGACCTCGCGAAGAGGATTGATGAAGTTTTGTCTGAATTGAAAGTAAAGTTGATAGAGCTGAACTGACTAGGTGTCGAGTTGCCTATGAGGTGCTAGGCTGACCAGGTGGCGAGCTGAATTGATGAGCTTCGTTGCTCTTTAGAGACCTGCAAGAAACCAAATGTCAGAGGACCTAGGGTGGCTAACCCGGCGAGGTCGCTCCGATGCTTAAGTCAGTACTCTCATAGTAGACTGCGAGCTAAAAATCACAAAGTATGAGAGCTAGACTTTTCTTACTTGCTTACCTCCCTTGCTTCTGGGGTTGGTGCCCTTTATATAGGCATTGTTTGACGTGGGCTTCACGCACCATATTCGAGATTTCTGCGAGGTCGTCTAAGTGGGTCGAGATTCTTGGAGGTAACCGGCATGCACGTTGACCACCCTCCAGATCGTTCGGCATGTGATCCAACTTCCAAGGATCATGGGAGTGTTTGGATATGCATGCTGAATTCGTCGACGAGCACGTCTTGCAAGTTGCCAAGTCGACACATGTGCTAGGTCGCCAGGTCGCACTTGGGCCGCCAGGTGGGACACCATCAACTTGGCAAAGGCAAGTTGTTGCCAAAGTGGTTCCGGGTGCCATGTGTCACAATATCATTGCAGGGCCAAATCCGCCCTCATTATATACAAAATTAAAATGGAAATTGTCTAAATTTATAATTTTTAAAAATGTTTATGGACTTTAAATTTATTATTACTTTTCAAAATGTAACCCCATGTCAGTAACTTTTTGTTTTCCAAAATCCACTATCCATTAGAGCACCATTAATGTTTATTCTCATAAATTGTCCACTAGCATAAATGTAAATTTTATGATTGACACGTGGTATATATATATATATTTGGTCAATGCACCAGTTATTGACATGTGGCATTGCCCAAGGGTACTATTATCATTCTGCACTCGTCCAAAGGCAATATTACAAATATCATGTTCTCGGTGCATTTACTCCCAACACACTTATGAAGGGATAGTGATCGGCCAACGTCTCTCTAATTGTTTTCTTCATGATCATAATTTATGGGATGGTTATTCACTCCTCATCACTCCTCTCCCAGGTGACTCCAACTTTATTAAAGGATGCATCGCAGCTTAACGCATACTCGAGTTAGTCATTAATTAATCTCCTGTTGTAACCTTGACTTTCCTTTGGAGACACTCTCAAGCCTCTAACGTATTTTCACTCTTAATAAGTAGAACTCTCAATCTTCAAACCTCGAGAATTACTAAACTACCCTCGGCTCCAAATTTGGCTAGCATGGATTTCAGAAATTATACGAAAAACCTGCCAAGGTATCAAGTTAGGAGGATCGTTTAAGCCATTGATCAGCGAAAGGAAATCAGAGAACCATATTTATTAGATAAATTAGCTATAGTCCGTCACAAAAAATAACATATTGGATTTCAATCTAGAAAACGTAGCCTTCCTGTATTACCTGAATCCGAGATGTTGTAGTGGCGGGGGATTATAAGTAGTTTAGATGGGCAATCTTTCGTCTTTTTGAGGTGTGGGCCCAGTCCGTGTGGGCTGTGACCTGTGAGGAGGCCTCATACATGTTGGAAAATTCTGCTCTAATCATTTTTATATCCTGATGTTAATTGATAGGACGGGCAGCTAATACTATTCGTAAGTATAACATTAGTGTAAATTAATATTAATATTAAATGGCACCAATTCACCAAACAAATCATGTAACGTAATTATAATCAAATGGGAAGTGAGAGGTCAGAGGCTGTATTTTTTGAGATCGGCTTCAGTCAGTGCAAAATCCGTTTTAATACTATTCGAACAGTTTTTATAATCCTGCACCGGAATATCTTTGTACTTCGATATTTTCGATAAAAGGATATAATGGCTGTTGGAACGGGTTCTGCATTGACTGAATCCGGTTTCGTATTTTTCACTGTTTTGTTGAAAGTATCAGGCGAGGGACACCGCTCACCGCACCCGACATTGCAATGACTATGGGTTGGGTTTTTTGAGTCTTAGGCCTTGTTTGGTTTGCGGAAATAGGGATTTAGAATCAAAAATAGAATGGGCTATTCTGATTTCAACTATTTGATTGAATGAAATCTGAACTTCATTCCCATTTTTATTAGAATGATATTCTCCTATTTAAAGGAATGGTCATTCTCTGCTTTGGGAATGAAATCCCTTTCTTATTAATTCTCATTAATTTTAATTTTGAAGGGTTTCAATTCTGATTCCGATTCCAACTATAAACCAAACTCTTAATTCTATAATCTGACAGCTGGACGATGCCGTGGCAATGCCTCTTTTCAAAATGAAAATTAAGGCTGCAACTTGGGCCAAATTGGCCCAAACCCAACCCGAAAAAAGTTGGGTTGGGTTGGGTCGGGTTGATGTTCAGGTTAGGGTTAGGGTTGAAATTCATGAACCCGACTTTACTTTGGGTTGGGTTAGGGTTGACCCCTTGACCAATCCGAACCTGACTCTATAGTACATGTCATATATAAATATATGTTATATGTATTATATAACATACATTGATTTATTTAGATTCATGATATTTGTATAGCCCCCACCACATGGTATCATGTATTTCTTTTAAGATAATCACTTTAGTTAATCCTAATCAGAAAGACTAAAACCTTAATAACA